GTGTTCAATAGGATATTTTGAATCTGTGTTACATAATTAGATCCAGTGATGAACAGCATTTATTTGATACTTTGAATGGATAAATGTTTCGAGTACCATAAGTTGTAAATGATGATGATATTCTGTTCATGTTGTTATACGCAGTAATAATTTTGAGGTAACATGTAACAGCAGTAACTGACATCAATAATTGATGGCAGTTTGTGTTATTATCTCATGAGCGTTTCGTCCAATAACTTGAGTTTCAGCAATACACATTTATCATGTACTTTACAGAGTTACGACTGTTACCCCAATGGATCACAAGTCACGAACCAGTATTCTCCAACCTAATCTGTCTTAGGCCTTCCCTTCTAGGTTCTGTCCAATTGTTGTTCACTGTTCCGATGACTGTCTCTTTTTCTCGGCGTAAAGTGTTTTCTGGTCTTGTTGTTTTAGTTTGGCCTTGAGGATTCCAGATGATGGCCTGCCCTGTGACACAGTTGGTCGCTTTCTTCAATGTTTCCTATCCACTTCCAGAGCTTCTTCCTGATTACTTCCTCTACTGGAATCTGGTTTATTCTCTTCCACAGTAGGTTGCTGTTGATGGTGTCAGGCCAACGGATACTCAGTATCATATTAGACAACTGTTAATAAACACCTGTATCTTCTGGATGATGGCTCTCGTAGTTCTCCAAGTTGTAGCTCCATATGTATGTATTGAAAATTGTGACTTTGATGTTGGTTGATAGTTGTTTTGATTTCCAGATATTCTTCAACTATAAAAATACAGCCTTTGCTTTTCCAATCCACGCCTTCACGTCTGCATCAGATCAATCTTGTGCATCAATGATGCTGTACAAATATGTAAAGGTTTCTACTTCCTTCAAAGCTTCGCTGTCAAGTGTGATTTAGTTGCAGCATGTTGTACTGTATTAGGGGATGTTACTACTTCCCTTGTGTAGGTTGAGATAGACTTCTGCAGAGGCTACTGCTACACTGATCGTTTTCCTCTGAATTTGTTATCGAGTGTGAAGCTACATCCAAGCTGTCTACTGTAATGTGATTTAGATGCTTTTAAAATAACAGACAAACTTCGAAAAAGAATACTATTGAAAATTGAATGCAATCAAAAATTGCTCTATTCGTTGTTTTGTGACACACAATATAATATATCAAAAATGTTAACTCACTTCAACTGACCGATACTGAACTCAAAGATACGGGTTGAAAATCTGAAGTAATTGATTATTGAAACAAATTTTTTTTGAACACTGTTCAATTAGGCTTTCAATGTATTTCCTAATTAATTGTCCGTTTCAAGTCTACATTTTCACTGATCTCTTCAAAGAATAAGATTTGACAAAGTTTGGTAAAACTAGGATTCAGAACAATAATAGACTGACATTAGAAACCTGGAAGCACTGGACGAGCGTTTCGTCCTGGTATGGGACTCATCAACAGTGCGCATCCACGACTCCTGCTCCTCGCAGGATGATGAGTCCCATACCAGGACGAAACGGCCGTCTTTCAGTGCTTCCAGGTTTCTAATGGTGGTCTAACAATGATTGATTGATGATTTCAAATGTGTAAAAACACAAACCTCCAAAACTCTGCCCCAAAATAATAGACTGGTTAAATTTATCAAATCAAAATTTTCTCGTTGAATCAGGTTTTTCCCTAAAAGTATATACAATTTTCAAAAAAAATTTAACGTCAGCTGAAGGAATTTTCGGAAAATTTGTCACACTGAACTATTGTTTGTTTTTCATTGTAAACTTACTGGAGATCATTGAACGCCAATATTCAATGGAATCCAAGACATTTAGCTTCCTGGGTAAGCACAATACTCTCTGAAGATTGAGTCAAAAACGCTCGTGATGTTGATTTTTGACCTTCATCACTCTGTAATCTAATAATTTTCATTCACTGTTACAAATTACTGAGTGTTTCAGACACTATCTGTTTCGTTGGTCATTGATTCCTGGTAGACACTTAGAAAATCCATCTTGAAGTAAGCTGATAGTAAACAGGTGATTATTCGATCATATTTCGGGGATTTTTCAATGATTTTGTAAATCGAGGTCATTCTTTGGGTGATATTTTTTTAAAGATGATATAGTATATCAAATTGTCAAAACTAACAATAACTTTTTATAGAAAAATATTGATTTTTGCAGAACGTTAAAAATTAAGCTAATTAGAGGCTATCGGTTATTATTTCTTAGAAAAATAACTAAAATTAAGATTATTAAAATATCAGCAATAAATCTTGATTATTTGCACAATGCGGTAGTGGAGATTGTTGAGTTACTTTGGAATGATGCATTGATCAGTGTTAGACCACCATTAAAAACCATCAAGCACTGTGTGGTGCGCGCTACTCATAAGTAGTGTATGACGTGAGTGTAAATGTAATGTCTGGCAGCAGAAGATGGAGGAAGATCAAGAAAGAAAGAGTGAGAACACAATGGAATTTGTATGAAACGCATGAATATTGAAATAAATGTCAGACAATGGATTGATGATGGATTGAAGATTTGCAAGTTAACGGTAACGATATGGTTTTCCTATATTACTGAGTAACTCTGTAATTTTCGTTAAATACAATTCGGTTGCCCTCACCTGTGTTCTCCTTCACTACAACTGGACTGCTGTTGCGTCCAGGTATGGAACAACACATCAAGTCCTGGGTTCGGATACTGTGAGTAGTTGGAGTCGTGGATACGCTCTACTGATGAGTCCTATAACAAGACAAAACGGCCATCCTTCAGTGCTTCAAGTTTTCTAATGGTGGTCTAACACTGGTCGATTTTATGATTTCACAGCAGCAAATCATGATTCTTTCAATTAGAATAATTATGAAGATCATTGTTTTTACACATAGAAATCATAAATCAATGATTGTCAGATCACCATTAGAAGTCTGCAAGCATTAGACGACAGTTTCGTCCTGGTAAGTGACTCACCAGCAATGCGCATACACGACTCCTGCTACTTACAGGATTCGAACCCAGGACCTTCGGTCTTGAGCGCGAACACCTAACCTGTGGACTACTCAGACGGTATCCAACGGTCTTAATGCCATGACTATTTGGTTCAAAAATGTCTGGGTAGTTAAAAATTACTTGCACATGTAACAGATATAAATTGTGTCGTTTCGCTCATTGATCATATAGTCATTTGGTGGGATAAATAAGTTTGTATAAACAAATATGGAGGTTTCAAGAGTGAAAATTTAAAATATATTTACTTGTACAATGAACACCTATTATAAAAAGAGACTTTATAGATTTAAAATGACAAATATCAGCATTCTAACATCTTGAGCTTTATAACACAACTCAAAGATTAAAAATGTGGACAATAAGTCAATATGTAATATAGAGACGATTAGGTTATTGCTCACCTTTAAGGTTTTTTTATAGTTGAAAAAACATTGCATTTAGAACCAACCAGCCAATCGGTTAATATCTACTTCAGTGAAACAAATCAGTATGAACCACTACATTCTACCGAAGTGTTCAAATCATTTCTAACACTCTTCAAAACTTAAACATCAGGTGTTGGCTTTAAATAATTTGGTTGGTGAATTGTCATGCAACTGATTACTTAGATTCCTAATTTCATAATTCACATGATTGGCTAAATTTGGTTGTACAACTTTTAAAATCCTAGTTATTTTGGACATCTGTTTCATTTTAGAATGGAACTCCTTAATACTGCACACCTATCACTGTATCAGCTTAGAAATAAATTAACTTCAGACTTCATGCTTTGACATTCAGTGAGAAGAATTTTAAACTAAGTGATTTGAAATTAGAATGTTTAACACTGTAAAAAATTATCGGCGTTCACTACAAAGGAATTTCTTAGTTGATGAAACAGTTATCTTCTCTCTGGTACCCAATCGTTCTCTAGCTGAATTCAATTTTGAATATCAACTATTTTCAGACGTAACAAGAAACTTATTGATGAATGACCACAAGCAGCATGGAACCAGTAAACAGTTATTTCGTCTTAGTAAGGGACTTCTGATCAGTGCGAGTCCACCGTCCAACAAGGATTAAGACTTAAGATCTTCGATTTCGTGTGTGAGTATTTAACAGCTAACCGACATCTAACTATGTGCATGATATTTTTATGCTTCAATAATCAGTAATTTCCAGTCAAGCTATCATTCATTTAAATCACTGTTATTTTTTCTGGTTAGTGTCTTTTGAGCGAGTTACTGTTCTACGGGATGAGGTCACCAACCCCACTCCCAACTCTCCTCCTTTATCCTGGCTTGCAAACGGCAGTAACCTCAGAGGGGCTCCCGCTAGAGTCAGAAGAATAAAAAAAATCTGGCGGAACTGGAAAGGCAAGCCCAGGACAAAGTAGGTTGGAGAATTCTAGTCGGTGGCCTATGCTTCATTGGGAGTAACAGGAGTTGGTAAGTAAGTAAGTAATTAAAGTATTATTCATTTACTGATTGTTAAATCATTAAGAATATTTTGACAAGAACATGTGGTATAAATAATCCTCCTCTTTATTTCATAGTAACAAGTTTCTAGATCATTTCAATCCTTCAAGATAAATATTAATACACATTTGAAATCATCAATCAATCATTGTTAGACCACCATTAGAAACCTGGAAGCACTGGACGGCCGCTTCGTCCTGGTATGGGACTCATCAGTGGCGGTGAACATCCACGACTCATGCTCCTCGCAGGACAGGGTTGAACTCCATTGACCAATGAAGTTCAACCCTGTCGGGTGTAGACAGTACCTACCAAAGACAAACGGGTGCCGACCCAGTAGTCCGATGGTAAAGCGTTCGCCTACAATGCCAAAAGTCCCGGGTTCGAATCCTTCGAGGTGGAGGAGTCGTGGATGCGCACTGCCACTGATGAGTAGTCCCATACCAGGACGAAACGGCCGTCTTTCAGTGCTTCCAGGTTTCTAATGGTGTGGTCTAACAATGATTGATTGATGATTTCAAATGTGTAAAAATAACACAAACCTCCAAAACTGTGCCCCAAAACATATATTATTATTGTTATTATTATTGCAATTTTTAAGAATAAAAACAATCACAATGACAATACTTGATTTACAACGTTCAATAGTCAATGTAAAATAACTTGGTTTCAATATCATTGTTCAATACTGGTCAATGTGTATTCATTGAAATGAAAGTAGCAAACAGCAGTAACAACAGGAAACAATTCAATTCAGTTCAATTCAATTCAGTTCAATGATTGATTGATTAATTGTGAAAATTATGCCGGTACAATCGAATGCCACATCACATGTACTTTCGATGGACTCTTAATCATTTCTTCCCATTGTTTAATTCCACTAGCTTGTGATGAATTCAATCCAATATGCACAGTGCCTAATACTTGTTTCATATGTAAACGATTCACATGTCTTAATTGACAAATCACATGAAATTGTTCAATTTGATTATGATTACTGCTACTACTACTACTACTACTACCAGTAGTACTAGTAGTATTGTTATTAGCTTGATGGAATTTCAACGGGATATTGATTTTTTGATTAAAATATGGATTGACTAATTCTTTACGTCTGTATGTTTTTTGTCGATACAGGGTATGATGCTTTTTATGTTTAAATAATATTAAAATATCTAATTCATGTTGTTTAGATTTTGGCAATAATTCACTTAAATTCAGCTGTCTACATTCATAAATACATACATCTAAATGAGGGAGATTTTGATTCGGGTAATAACCTAAACCGATACACAATTCACCAAGACCAAATTTTGAACTAGTTCCAGCAGTTAACCAACCAATTCGTTCAATTATATTACCAGCATATTCTTCATGATCTTCATCTTTCAGGTAAACTTCTAGTTTACCAATACTAACATCTTGACATATACTATCATGAGCAAATACTTCAAATATCATGACAGTACTATTCAACTCGTGTTCATCTAAATCAAAAGTGAATATTTTTTTCCATACTGGTCGATTGGTTTTCAATGCAACATTGGTTTTTTCTTGTTTACCAATAATACGTAAATTATGTCCATCATATTTAGCTAATGTCACTGTAGCATAAGGATCCAATGAATCAGAACTAATTGGTCCAATCAAATTATTGGCTTGTAATGCACCAACTTTCAATTGTCTATGATCAATATTGTATTCTAGTGAATATTCAAATGAACCATATTTATGTTGTTCTTTTGATTGTACCAATCCAGGTATTTCATCGACATAAATGCCTTTTGGACGTTTACGTAATACTCTAGGGACATATTTACGTCGAATACAAGTACGTACACATAATAAAATGATAATTATAAAAAATAAACATGCAATACATACACATATAAATAAGAATACAGCTAATGGTTTGTTGATAACATGAAATGATTTTGTTAATTCAATAACAAATGGATCAGTGTCGAATGATGATGAAGAATTTGTGGTTGCATTTGTAGTAGAATTAAGTTTATTTAATGAGGTAGAAGCGTTAGACATTGTTTATAATTATGATTATTATTATTGTCTTTATAATGATTTGAAAGCAAATTGATAATCCATTGTTTAAATGGATAGTCGGTAAAAAATCAGTTCAATGTTCAATGTACATTATTGACTTGTACGATGTAGTAGTAGTGAAATAGAGTTTTAAATAATAAATAGCTTGCTCATCAAGGTGGCAATTTGGTTAAGATTAGGTGTTTTATATATATATATTCGTCTAAATGATATTTATCATTTTGTTGACATTATTTATTGACTAGTAATTGGTTGCTTGTTTTCAATGTTCAAAATTGTGCACACACACACACACACACTAGTCATCGTCATCATTACTAATAAGTTTTTATTATTTTAATGGGGGTGTGTTATTCATTGTGAGTTGATTCATTTATTTATTTAGCTAAAGAATAACTGCATCTCGCTTAGTAAAGCGTCACTGGCAAATCGATCAATAATGGTGTTGATTTTCATATTCAGTACATATGTGGTGTGTGCTACTTATACGAACGATATAAGTAGTATAAGAAGGGACGTGAAAGAAGAAGTCGCACGGTCAGAAGAGGAAAACGGGAAGCAAATGGAGCAAAAGCAAGAAGTAAATGGAATACCAACAGTAAGGAAAGGAAGCAACAAGAGGAATGGAAGAAGGATGGAGTGTTGGAAGTCAGGACTCAAAGATGGTGTGCAAATGGAGTATTTAATATAATGTTTTCGTTTTTAATTGACTAAGAGTGTAAATTAGCATAATTCAACCTTCGTCGCCTGCCTCAGTCTTCTCAGATATATCCAACTAACTTTTGTTTATCCTCTCTAATTTAACAATCCCATTGTTGATATTTAAGACTGAATTTAGATTTTACATTTACAATTGGTATATTTGTGCATTTTGTATGGAATGGAATGTGTTGGTAGAGAGATTAATTCATAAGTTTATGTAGGTTTATATTCTTGGTCAACCAACATGATTGCAGCATATGCACGTAGGCTTATTTTACACAGCAAAGAAATTCTCACGACTGCCATACTGTTACGCTCGTCACTAAGTATGCTTGAGGCTATTACGAGTTTACCTCAGTCGATAAACGCGAACGAGACTTTTACCAGCGTCCAGGTAAGCTACCGTGGAATCCTCAAATAGAGTAAAAAGCTTTGTAAGCGTAGAAAGTATATTCTACAAACACCCAGCAATCACAATACAATCAAGCATACAACTCTTGTTTATTTATACTACATAGAAACGTCCTTGAGATAGTTAAGAAAATAGCACACTAAAATACACAGCAGCCAATAACAGTCATGGATTTTCCTGGTGGGAATTGAAATCTCCAGGTCAACTGATCAGCCGATGCTCGCAAACGTGAAATCCAAAATAAGGCATTTATCAAGCGAGTTCTGGGGATCTAACATCCCCAACACATACCTAAGACCGCTTCTGCCCGAAGGTACGTACATGTTGTCTAGTTTCTCCAGTAGGTCAGTCAGACATCCAGTCTGTAAACGTGTGAACAGTCAGCCTTGTATGAGTGCTTATGAATCAACTCGGCCCTTCCAACCAAGCCAACCAAGAATATTTATTTATATGGATAACAGTAGAATTTAGGACTGATTAAAAATTCATTGAAATTATCAACAATCGGATTATTGAAAATGTAGTTAAAATTCATACTGGTTGTACAAGTGTGCAAGTGCACAAGCGGACTCAGAGGCTATATAGTAAATTTTCGGTTTAAAACACAAAATACTGAATCTGAGTTCCAGTGTAAATGTGGAACCGAAGCTTGGTGAACCATGAAAGCAGTCATTCAGAAGATACAATTATTAAACAGTTGTCTACACAAGATACTGGGTATCCGTTAGCCTGACACCATCAACAGCAACCTACTATGGAAGAGAATAAACCAGATTCCAGTGGAGGAAGAAATCAGGAAGAAGCGCTGGAAGTGGATAGGACACACATTGAGGAAAGCGACCACCTGAGTCACAGGGCAGGCCGTCATCTGGAATCCTCAAGGCCAAACCAAAACAACAAGACCACAAAACACTTTACGCCGAGAAAAGGAAACAGTCATCGGAACAGTGATATCAGGAATGTGATTAAAACCATTGGAAAGAAACCCGGACGTACTGTTTCGTCCCTAGTATGGGACTCTTCAGCAGTGTGCATTCACAACCAGTGGATTTTAAATGTTTCGTATGTGAGGTAATCGACCACCAAAGACAATGGATGAGGTTGCACAGTACGCTGGATTGAATAGAGTTGGAAATTAACACCGTCGGATGCCAGCTCAGTGTTCTAGAGCAAGACCAACGGTTCTGGGTTTGATTCCGGCGAGCGGGAGTTATAGATGCGCTTCGCCGATGAGTCCCATACTAGAACTATGCTTCCAGGTTTCTAATGATGGTCTAACAATGATCGATTCCTGATTTTAATCAAAAACGACTAACTCTAAAATGAAAACCAGGAATGTTATTCAACAGAAGTATCAAGAAGGAATATTATACTTGTTTGGAATTTCCACCGCTCCATCCCTGGGAACCAAACACAGAACCTTGAGATCCGCGCACAAACGCTTAACCTTTAGACCACTGGGCCAGCACCCATTGGTCTGAATGTCTGTCCTCAATTAATTCACGTTAATGAGTGACCATCTTCTATTGTAATCGGTGTCTATTTTATTAATATTGTTCACATCGATGTTATACATCATAAGTGAATGGGAATGAATTAATAAACCCTTGTTTTTGAAAATGGACAAAAATATCTGTAAAGTGTACTAAGACAGTGTGGTTAAAGAGAACATAGGTGAGGGCAACCGAATTATATTTATCGCAAATTACAGAGTTACTCAGTAAAATCGTAGACGGTTAATTTGCAAATCTTCATTCCATCATCAATCCATTGTCTGACATTTCACTATTCATGCGTTTCATACAAATTCCATTGTGTTCCCACTCTTCCTTTCTTGATCTTCTCTCATCTTCTGCTGCCAGACATTAAGTTTTCACTCGCGTCATATACTACTTATAAGTAGCGCGCACCACAACAGTACATTTAACAAGAATATTAATCTGTAAGATCAAAAAGGAGGTTTGAACTGAGGACTAAATGTTTCTAGGTAGGTTAGATACGGGTCTTACCCAGTTTAAAACCAAAACAAGTGATGTGAGTAAATAACGGTTCTAATATTCATTATATATATAAATTTACATAATTACCTAAACAAATATTACCACTTAGTTATTCCACCAACAATTGTTCAATTAATCAAATCAACAGCAACAGATAAATGTTATTCTATCCCTGGATAGATCATATTCGTTCGAAAGATAATATTTAGTTGCTTCACAACACAGAGCGTTTCCAATTCTGGAAGAGTGCTCTAATTCACAATCAAAATGTTCAATTCCAGTCAAAGCAGGCGATCCAATCAAAAAAGGAACAAATTAATATGGCTGTCGCCAAGACTAAGTATCAGCTTAAACAACAGAAATTCAGTTCAGAAAGAAACATAGAAACTCAGTAAAGGCACAAAAAAATAGAAACTATAATAAAATACAAATATTATCATCTCAAAATGGAATCGAACAGACTAACAAAATGTACAACTGAAGGAATCAATAAGGACAAATTACAAATGTATACATGGAGGGATTTTCACAAACAAAGCCTTCAAAAAATGGATCTTACATGGATCTTTCACATTTTAAGTAGTATCTTGAGGATGGAATAATAAAAAACGGCAGAAATCTACAAAACAGTGCTTACATAAGTTGTTAATTTGAAGAATATAAAAATTTTATGATTCCTATACTGAAAAGTAAGCCAAGTGAATGAGAGAAGACACTAGTAATTTCAGAGGACTGTTGTTTTTGAACAAACTGGATTATAGCTTGTTTTGAATTCTAGAATACTCATTCCCTTCTTATTTAACCTCATGAGATAAAATATACCTGAACCCTGATGTTCATTTGCATATATCAAGGTGATTGTCTTTCTGGATGAACATTACTCAACAAGGACCAATCAAATACGATCATAGATAACAAATGACGGAAAGTTGTAAATTTCACTTTTTGGATATTCTTCAATCACTGTTCCTTAAACACTACCGTGCAGTAGTTCGCTACGTCCTATTATACGAATGCGAAACATGGCCGATAAGAGTAGAGGACTTTCGTACGTTACTAGTCTTTGATCGTCGAGTGTCTCCGAAGCATCGCTCGTGTATCCTGGGACAACCGAGTAAGCAATGCTGTCGTTAGGGAACGAGTTCTAGGTAGGGATGGCAAATCAATAGATGAAGTAGTGAAACTTGATCAGTTGAGGTGGTTGGGACATGTGTTACGTATGCCTAACCACCGACTGCCTCGACGAGCTATGTTTAGTGGTGTAGGAGTAGGTTGGAAGAAAGCTAAGGGCGGCCAAATCAAAACATGGCAGAAATCCATGAAGTCACTGACAAGTGGACTGAGTGATGTTGGTAGATGTAGACTACCTGGTTGTGGTCCACGAGACAAAAGTCACCGATGGTTAGAGACCTTGAACGACATGGCTCAAAACCATTTGCAATGGCGCAAGTGCATCCACTCGTTGTGTTCTCTCCAATTCTAACCTTTTGAATCCCTCATAATCTCCAACTTTCTCCTTAATTTATCTCACTGAATTATACTTATCGAATCATATCGTCGCTCCCTAATCTTCTCCATTGCTGCTAATAATTCTACTATCTTTATCACTCTTGGATTTGAACTGACAGTTACGTCTCTGTGCTGATGTGGTATAGCAACATGAACTGATGTATTTAGGTACGAAGTTCTGCATTGTATCTGTCTGTCTGTCTGTCTATCTATTCCTTAAACACTATTCTTATTGATTCTGCATCATGACATTTAAGTAAATCGGTTACTTTTTTTCCAAGATTTAACAGTTTCATATTTTAAATAGTGGAAAGATTTTGAACATGCGAATAATTCTTCCTATGAATTTTTTAAAAAAAGAATATTAGTTTCTACATACTGTCAACTTTACTAAGAGTATTATAGTTTGTAAATAAACATTTTTGGTTCATCATTGAAAGTAATCAGTGGGATCAGTGAATAAATCCACTGAACGCATAAAAACAGTAATCACTAGTCCCATTTTTTGCTGTTCCAACTACTTTCCTAGAAATTC